ATCTGTTGGCCATTTCAAGTCTTCTTTGGAGAAATGTCTATTCAGGTTTTTGTTCACTTTTTGAGGAGGGTTATTTATTTATTTATTCTTATTGAGTATTTTTAGTTTCATGTAAGCTTTAGATTTAGCCCATGTGAGATGTATGGCTTGCAAATATTTTTCCTGAATCTGTAGGTTGTCTTCTCACTTTGATATTTGTTTTATTTTCTGTGTAGAAGCTTTTCAGTTTGATGGTATAAATTTCTTCTAACCATGAGATTAGCTAAATTGAAGTTTTTACATGTGATGTCTATACTCTATTCAGTGTCTTCTCTAATTTCCACTGGATATAAAATTATTTCAGCTGTGTTTGAACATTTCACCTATAACACAGGTGTAGTTAACCCCATATCATAGTTAGAAAAATGAGAGGTTGAGATTTAGGTTTGTTGCTTGAGGTCTCAGACTGGCTGTAAAACTTTTCCACCATGCTATCTTCTTCCATTCTTCTGTGGAAAGCATGCTCACCAGTCTAGAAGCCTGGGTGTGCCTTTCTCTTCAACCCCACCATGTTGCTGGCTTACCTGGTGTGGGAGCCTGTCAAGAGAAGGGATGTCTTTCTTCTTAAATCCATGTGTTTGGACACAGGAGATGCACACCTTGACATCAGTCATTGACTTTAAATGGGTTAATGTATATCAGTGAATTTGAAACCTGCTCCACCACCTGTGTTTGGTGCAACAGGGGCTCTAGGCCCACTTTTGCCATGTCTGCTACAGGTGTTGGTGGTGCTGAATGGTATGCTCCAGAAGCTCCTTGGCCTCATTCTCTTGGAATAGCTGCCTGTGGCCTGATGGCAAGGGGTAAGTACCTTTTTCTCATTCTGCCCTCTCTGTCTATAACTATACATCTTACTCCATCATTGCTGCCTCCTGGCTGTGAAGTTAGAGCCCCTCAGTGATGGTGGACAGTCCCCTGTCCCACACAGGGAGCACAGCTGCATCTTCAATGCCTTCATATTTGCATCCACCAGTTTCTATGTAGAGAAAGTGGCAGATGAGCAGGTGAGGGCAGGTGAGGTTGGGTAAGATCCACTTGCCCCCTGGCCCACCTCCACTGAGCAGCTGCAATTTGCAAATAAACCACCTCCCAGTTTCCTCCATGCCTCAGAGAAGATTGCCTGGACATGCTCATTTATTCACTAATTCCATGTTCCACCACCTGTACAGACTACTTTTGTACCCTCATATACAGTTAAATTTTGTCAGTACTTGTGTACCCTCATATACAGTTAAATTTTGTCATGTACTTTCAACTCCCATCCCCTCTCCCACCTACTCAAAGTGAATGTTGCCAAGTTGGACCCCAGAAATGTGCAATGGGTCATTCTTCTTAAAACATTCCTTTTTCTCCCTAATATTTATGTATATATAATATACATAT